TCTTCTTCTTCTTCTTCTTCTTCTTCTTCTTTTTTTTTTTGAGACAGAGTCTCACTTTATTGCCCTGGGTAGAGTGCTGTAGCGTCACAGCTCACAGTAACCTCCAACTCCTGGGCTTAGGCGATTCTCTTGTCTCAGCCTCCCAAGTAGCTGGGACTACAGGCGCCCACTAGAAAGCCTGGCTATTTTTTTGTTGCAGTTTGGCTGGGGCCAGTTCGAACTTGCCAGCCTCGAGGGTATATGGGGCTGGCGCCCTACCCACTGAGCCACAGGCGCCCCCCTGCAGCAGAATTTCTTAACCACAGTAGATATCAATGAGACACAAAGGCTTCTTGCAAAATAATGAATTTTTCTTAGTGGGGGCAGGGGGTATTCCAGCAGAAATGTGAAGGGTGAGAAGGGAACTAATATTTTGTTCCCATGAGCCAAATGCTTCCCTTATGGACTCTTGAGCCAGTGAGTTTGGTTTGTGTACAGATATGGAAACTGAGGCTCAAGGAGGTGCTTATCCAAACTCACAGAGCTAGCCAGTTTCAGAGCAAGAATAAAATCGCACCACAGCTGAGTGTGGTGGCTCAAGCTTGTAACTTGGGAGTTCCAGGGCAGCCTGAGCAACAGTGAGACCCCATCTCTACTAAAAAATTTTTAAAAATCAGCCAGCATTGTGGTGGGTATCTGTAGTCCCAGCTACTCATGAAGCTGAGGCAAGAGGATCGCCTCAACCCAGGAGTTTGAGATTGCTGTGAGTTAGGATAAGGTACACTCTGCCTTATTAAAAAAAAAAAAAAGAAGAAGAAAGAATAGTGCGCAGACCTTGGGAATCCAAAGCCAATGTTGTGCACTTCCCACCCAAACTCCTGTGCTACAGAGGGCTCACAGGCCACATGTGGCTGTCCAGTTCCCTAGCTACACCAGCCTTCTATCCCTCCTCCCAATGTGTCATGTGCACCCCACCTCAGGTCCTTTGCATTTGCTGTTCCAGTTACGTGGAGTTCTTAGTCACAAGACCATATTATGGTTACTCCGGTGCCATCTCCTTGGTAACAGGCACTCTTCTGTCCATCACATCACTTATTTTCTTTATAACATGTATCACTCTGAAAGTTCTCTTTTTCATCTTGTATTTATGAGTGTATAAATGTCTCCCTTAATAGAGTGTCACCTCCATTTTTAAGGGGCAGGGACTGTGTCTGTCTTGTTTTCTGTTATTATCCTCAAACCTATCCCAGAGCTGGATACATAGTAGACACTCAATAAAACTTCTTGGACTAGTGAGTGAACAAGGTGGTTGGGTGTGAGCCAAATGTCCATGGGGAAAGGAGTGTAGAGGAAATTCTCCAGTGAGAATGGGAAGTGATGATTTACCTTGCCTAGCTCTGGAGTTCTGGGATGCTGAGAGTAGGTGCTGGGGGCATGCAGAGCCTCTCTTCGACTTCTCTTCCCCCTTGTAAAGAATTGCTGTTGGGGCACATCGTGTATGTGAAGGTAACTGCCAAAACTGCAAGGCCTAGAACTGGGTCCTGAAGTCCAAGTTAGGAGGATATGAGTCAGAGATAGGCCAAGGGTAGCCAGGTTTGATTGGGAGAGGTGTCAGAACCATGCCCAGTCTTCTAATTCCCCCTAGTCTAGACGGAGTCTCAACAAACACAAATAGGGCATGTTTTTCCCAAAGCCACAAGAGAGGGATCAAAACTATAGCATAGGGCAAGTGCCACCCCTGGTGTCTTGGCCTTTGCTCTCTCACTTGTCATAGCTGTGGCAGGGGTGAGGAGAGAAGCATCAGATCTGGCCTTGCCTTTTTCCTCTATCTCCATTCCACAATTCCTGGATTTGGCCACCAGGGGGCATGGGTAGGCCATACTGTCTGGAAAGCCAGCCAGCAGGGCAGGGAGGAAGGGGAGGTTGAGGTCCGGAAGGGCAGCAGTTGGCCAGTGGGTCAGGCTGTGCATCTGTGCTGTGCCTGACTTGGCTCCTGTGATAGTCTAGAAGGTGAGGAGGTATCTGTCAGAGACCAGATGCTGTGTTTGTACAGTGCTGGGGCTGAGGTCTTGGTATGGCCCCTCAGACAGTCTCGTAAGGGAGTGTTGGTCAAATGACCATATTCTGCAGGAACAGTGCTCCTGTTTGCATTTTCCAAGGTTCAGGGAGGGAGGAAGAGGTTGTACAGCTGAGATCCAAGTTAGAATTAGGAATGTGGCTGGGATTTGGGCTGGAGACCCTCTGTGTGAGAAGAGCCTCCGGTCCTCTTCCAGCACAAAGTTCTGATTTTGACATCAGCCAGCCTCACCCCTTCTCTGTACCTCAGTTTCCTCATCAGTAAGATGGTTTGTAGGTCCCACTGTCTCAAACCATGGCTTTTAATCCTAGCTGTCTGCAACCAGATGTATCAGAAATGGGCACTGCTACCAACACCCCTGATAGCCACTGGCCCAGAAGAACTCTAGACTTCTCAGGGTCCCACATTACCCCTTCCTGGATTTGGGCCTGGAAAAAGTCACTGAGGCATAGGAGCTCTCAGGCAGCCCTGCCTGGTGAGCCAGAATGGGGCTCTGGGATCACTATCCCTCTTCTGTGCTATCAACTCCTCCTCCCTCCTGGTCCCCTCCTTTTCCCTTCTCTCCCTTCTAGCTCTGTGCACCCCCCTCCAGCTTCCCCCTCTGGCCCCCTCCCAACCCCTGCAGCTGTTCCTGTTTGTTTTCCCAGATCAGCTGCACTCAGAGCTTCCTGAAGGATGGATGCCCAGGTGGCTTTGTTTGCCAGCTAAGTGCAGTCACCCCTACTCCCTCCACATGTACAACCTAGCCTTTGGACATGGAGAATTAGGTAGAGAAAAACCCAGCATGGCAAGTCTGCACCTCCAAGAGCCTTCAAGATCTTATAGGGATCTCATCACCCACGAGGGACCCCACTACCCTGTTCTAGTTCTTTATTTCATATAAAACATTTGGTTCTTTATGTCATATAAAAACATTTGAATCCCACAGAGAGGCGTGGCGCCTGTGGCTCAAGCGGCAAAGGCGCCAGCCACATACACCTAAGGTGGCGGGTTCGAATCTAGCCCTGGCCCACCAAACAACAATGATGGCTGCAACCAAAAAATAGCCTGGCGTTGTGGTGGACGCCGGGGGTCCCAGCTACTTGGGAGGTGGAGGCAGAAGACTCGCTTGAGCCCAGGAGTTGGAGGTTGTTGTGAGCTGTGATGCCACCGCACTCTACCCAGGGGGACAGCTTGACGCTCTGTCTCAAAAAAAAAAAAAATCCCACAGAGAAATCCTCAGGACCTCACCCCTCACCACATCCTCTTCCCCATGATTCTGCCAAAACACCTATCCCATATGGACCCATAAGAACCCACAGAGAAACCCTAAGA